CAGAAACTATTCTGTGATTATCGTGAACAACTTGATCATCAGCCTAAGAAATTTTTGTTGCATTATTTGGACTTGAATGTTGTAAATTAGGCATGTCGAACTAGCTAATGTACTCTTAGTTTACTATTTAACAAAATGCCAGAAGCAACAATGAGAGGTGAAGACTTACTTGAAAAATGGAAGGAAGTAAGGTCGCTCCTCGGAGTCACTACCGAAAGGAACACCACCGCCAAGAAAGATAGTTGCAGGCTGTTGGGTTGCGCAGTGTCCTCTCGAGGACCCCATCCGGTACTCGAACTGCAGTCGGCGATCTATTTGACGCCAGAAGACGGACGGGCTGCGTCGGCCTCCGGTTAGAGTAAGAAAAGACGTTCGCACTCACTCAGGTGGAAGGACCAGTGAAGTCTGATGTTCCAACACCTCGACGTGGACCACCGAAAATATTTGAAGTATGGAAGAGCAATGAAATCTCCTTCGATCCCGCCGGTGGTCACCAGTTTATGTCTCGTAACCGAGCTGATCTCTTCGGGGCATCACCATAAGACGTCGTATAACTATCTTCTTATATAAAATTCCAATTAATTCGTAGGATAAGGACTCTGTCTTGACTAGAGTCGAAGGAGTTCGAAGGATGAAGAAAGTTAAGTGTAGAAAAGAGTTTAATTAGACTTTCCAGAAATAGAATAAGTAAATATTCAAGTACAATGGATGTACACTCGACCAGATATTGTTGGTCTCTCCTCTGTCTACACACTAACTACTTACTTATTATATCATACTTACATTTTACAATTAAATTCAATTAAATTCATTTCTTAACATACAAGAATATAGTGAGCAGTTCCATATATGGTCATACGATCTTTTGAACCCGGACCGAGATACTTCTCAACCCTTCTGTCTAGTCATAACATGTGTGTTTGTGACGGTCTTATGAGAGGCCGAGGTCAATACATAACTAATTTCGTACGGTCTTCAGCATTTAGGAAATGTTCAGATTACGAAACTTGTCATGTACATGTTAATTGAATTAATCAAATTACACGTATCCCTTATAACTACTATCTATTTGTTACCTGTGCCATACTACATGGCACCTGAGCCCATCTCAACGGCGTACTTCATAAATTCCTCTCATAAGTCTGTCTTTGTATGTGTATCGTTCTACAGTCTCTGTGAAGACGTTACTGCTGCAACGATTACACACGAAGCAATAAAAGAATTGGACGCGTCATTTTGTATGCGGTCAGTGTCTTGTCAGAGGAAAGTAGACGTTCAATTCTTAATTTTTCTTTCTTGCAATTTTATTTATATTATTGTGATAAACAAACTCACGTAGTTACGTACAAGTAGGCTGAGTAAAAATGTTTTCAGCTGAATTTCACGTTACAAGTTGATTTTCAACCTATTTTCCTTATTTTGAGAAATTAGAAGGAAAGTATAGGATCACATTGCTGTCTGTGTCCTCTCTCCTGACGTTGCTAAGCAACAGCTCGTTAAATACGTTCCCTCGCAACGAATACACACAATAGAACTGTTGGACGCGGTGTTTTATATGTGGTCGGTGTCGCATCAAATAGTCAATATATAGTGAAAGAAAAGTAGGTGATTTTTTATTGTCCCCAGTCGGGGCTCGACACCAAGACAGACAGACTGACCGACCGTCAGTCGCAATGTGACTTTTGATTTTTTATTGACTAGAGTCTATAGAGTCTAGAGTGTGCTGTGCCGCGTAATTTATACTTCCTGTGTCTGTGATGTTGATGTGGGCGTGTTCTGATGTATTATGAGGTAGAACATGTTATGTTGGCTATTAATTTCTTCTGTGTGTTCTTGTTCTTCTATCAATTTATTTACATTCATGATGCCTCTTTCTTTGACTTTTTCAGTCATTCCCATGATTACTGTCATCGGCCCATACTGATGGTGTTTATTTAGTATGTGTTGGGCACATGCTGATTCGTCCTTTTTTAGTCTTATGTTTCTTATGTGTAATTTGTATCTTGTTAGATTTCTACCAGTTTGGCCGATGTATACTTTTTGGCAATTTTGGCTTGTTATTTCCTATATCCCACTTTGTTCGTAGGGGTTTATTTCTCGTTTTTCATTTATTAGTTTATCTATTGTGTTGGCTGTTTTGAAGGCTATCTTTATATTAGTGTTTTTGAATAGTTTTATGATTTTTCGTATGTAATTTCCTGTATAAATAAAAGTGACCCATTTTGTTCTTTTTCGTCTTTATTATCCGCGTTACCCATCTTTCTCTTAAGTCTGTTATATAGATGTGTGATGTCTTTCTTTCTATAGCCATTATTTAGTGTTATATTAATAATAGTATTTAATTCTTTGTTTTTAGCATTTTCCTCAAGGGGTACTGTAAGAAGTCTGTGTATCCAATTCTTATATGCTGGCAATTTTTGTTCTTTAGGGTGGCATGATTTTTTATTTATTGTTATGTCTGTCGTTGTGGGTTTTCTGTATATTTCCATTTCTATTTGTCCGTGTCTATTAAATATATTTAAGTCCAGTTTACCTAAATTTTTTAAACACTTTAAAAGTTTTAATACCAGGAAGGCTGCTGTGATTGTGAAAAGTTGAATATTGTGTACATTCTGTATTCCAGGCATTGTGTGTGTATGTAATTTAGCAATCAGAACACCTATTGTGATGGTGTCCGAATAAGTATTGATATTCCCTCTGAAGATGATCCGTAAGTGTGTCTCTCTCTCTCTCTCTCTCTCAAGTGTAAATTCTGAGACAGTAAAATATGGTCGCGAGTCCCAAGTGACTCGGACCCGAGAAAGACAGCGCTGGCAAGAGCCAGCAGCATATACAAAAGATAGACCCGTCCTCTCATCAGAGAAGGCGCCCCACAGAAACAAGACCGTAACTGTCAAATGATAATAATTAATATCCGGTCATGAGCCCCAAATGGGGTTCGACACCAAGACTTACTGACTGACTGACCGTCAGTCGCAATGTAACTTGACTCGACTCGACTGATTTTTATTGCTAGTGATGTGGGACTAAGTACCTTATACTGCGGCCACTTCTGATAGGTGAGGGTGATTGTGGAGCAGTTGGTGGAATGAAGATTGACAGGGAAAACCGAAGTACTCGGAGAAAACCTGCCTCAGCGCCACATTGTCCACCACAAATCCCACTCGACCAGACTGGGGATCGAACCCGGGCCGCCGCGGTAAGAAGCCAGCGACTAACACCTTGAGCTATGGCGCGGCAGAAGTAGGTGATTAGGTGTAACATAACTTATTCCATACAGCCTCCCCCAGGGGCGCTTCTCGCAGGATGGGAACCACGATTAGAGGTGAACTTATATGATTAGGTTAGGATATGATGGCACAAGAGTGCTGCTATATGAAAGAGAAATCCATTGCCTGGCTTTTCAGGGCTAATCCTAAACTTATAAATGACAGAAAGTGATTCTTCTGTTGGTTTTCCCGTCTGTTTTCTGATAACGAAATTCTCACTGGTAACGAAAGAAAGTGACAATCATACGTGCGGAACAGATAATTAATAACGATTTAAATATACAGTGGTGTCCATATATAAATAGAATGATCATGTCAAGGAGGTTGAGATAGGCTGGGCATGTAGCAAGCATGAGTGAATATGAATGCATGTAGAATTTGGTGAGAAATCCAGAAAGGAACAGACCACTAGGAAGACTTAGACGTAGATGGGAGGATAATATTAAAATGGATCTTAGAGAAATATGGTGGGGCGGTGTGGACTAATTAATCTGGCTCATGATAGGGCCATTGGTGGGCTCTTGTGAATACGGTAATGAACCTTCGGGTTCCATTAAATTGAGTAACTGACAGACAGGTGGTTTCTCAAGAAGGATTCAGCTCCAAGGAGCTGATTAGTTACTGTGCAGTTGCCATATTTTCCGCAGAATCAATTATAAACGAAGGAATAAAACTACGATGAATTCTCTGCTTATAATGAACATGCATTAAATTAACTCGCAACTGTTTGCTGTTACGTAACGACACTACAATTGGCAAGAAGTCGAAGTTAAATTAATATAAATTCTGATGAAATTAGATATCGTCAGAGTATGTAAGAGTGAAATTTGAAATGTCGAATGTTCGTCAAAATTTATAGCACTGATATTCCTTACCAATTAAATGTTGGTACCAGAATGATTTCACGAACATAACCCTGGGCGCTGTCAACTGTGAAAAAATTGAAGTCTTTTGTAAAGCCGTGTGTTCTTTATAATCGTACATGTACAATGTGATATGCATAAGATTACTAGGGTTTTCTGAGGCCTCTATACCTTGGGTCTAAAAGAGATATTTTGAAGGCTGACAACCTTACCACCATCTTTGAGCCGATTGTCTAGATAATGTCTCGCAACCTTATGGGCCTTCATGGCCTGTTACAGCGATAGCTTTACTTTTTTACTTAACACTGAATGACCTAGTCTTCGTTACGTCATAAATGTCAGTCAACGTCTATACTGAGTACAGGGAATGAGATTGTGCCCTGAGAAACCAATGTTAGTGCAGAAACTAAACTGTCTTTTAGTTATAAAATGACCAAGTTGGTACTTGCCTTCAGTAATAAATGGGATTGATACTGGAAAGTTGAATTATCAGGCACCCCTTTAGTCTGTTTCTGTATTATGTTATCATTTTTAATGGAATGTAATTCTCTTGCGGAACTCTTTTTATATCACAGTTTGCGTAACATTGCTCCAGAAACTATATCCTACCACGACCTTCAAACATGAGGTTAGATAAAAGGTAAAGGTATCCCTCTAACAGGCCGTGAAGGTACATAGGGCTGTGAAACGTCGAGGCACCCACATTTTCTAGGCAGTCGACTCACAGCTGGCGATGAGTTTGTCAGCCTTACACTCCGGCCGCCCTTTACGCCCCATGAAGATTCCTGGTACTCATTTCTGTCAGAGACTGAGTTGACCCCAAGGCCATAGTGCGGCTGGAAGGATTAGGTCAATTGAAAAGATCCAACTCATTGGGATTCGAACCCGTGACCTTCCGGCTTGTAGCATAATGTCTCAACTAACTACAAGTGTGTAGGGGTTTGATTTCCTGCTGCATCTGACACTGACATAAACCAAACTTGAACATATGTACCACAACTTATTATTTTCTGATTGGGCGCAGATATTTCGATCAGTGACGTGAATTTACTTGAGATCAAAGATGACATTTAATCATGATTATTTTGTATAATTTTTCACAGTTACACAAATAACAGCACAGGTCAGCATTAATCTGAGAGTTTTAATTATATCGAGAACGCCAAAGTCAGACTTATTTCATCATTGTGCATCTCATTTCATAAAAGGGCAAATGTCAAGCTATCTCGAAGTAGATACGACATTCAGAGCTGAAAATCAACATGGCCATTACGAACTATTAACATAGAAACATCACGTAACAATAACATGTGGAGTCACCTTCATTGTCATAAGAGTGGAACAAAATTGCAGTGAAACTTAAAGGGCTACTTTCATTTTGGGCCTGGAGCATTTGAGCACCAATCCACATGCTACCAAACTATGGGGCGTCACATCCCAGAAGACCGTCATTTACATACTCTGGACAACCTCAGCTCTCGTACGTAAACATTACTTCACACTGAATTACTGGGGTTTTGAACTTTTTCCATCGTCCGGAAAAAAGTCCCAAAACCCAGTAATTCTTTGTGGCACCCACCATCGTCAGAACCCTTAAGAATAACTTCACACTGTAAAACACTTCATGTGCCGTACAGTCAGTTTATATTTCACTTGCTTAATTGGACACAAACCACTTGAAGTCACGGTCGTTCTTTGTTTCACCGTGTATAGTATTTAGTATGAAACTTAAAGATGTCACAAACCCACGCCACTTAAACAAATGCACTTGAAAGACACCGCAATATTTGTAAACTACATTATAAATTCAGTGCATAATAATTAGAAATTTGAGTAAATTTGGGCCTGTACAAATGCTGTGTCTTTTGCAGTTGAACGAGAGAGCAATTTGCAAAGCTGATCTTGCAAATTTTGGGCCTCGGCTTAGTGATCACTTCCTTTTCTTAGTGAACGACCTGTTTCACGCAACATTATACAAAAGAATAATTTGAAAAATGTCACACACTCTTGACAAGAATTTAAAACACTTTTTGGTAACTTAGTACCAATGAACAATTACCGATTACAATACTGGTGTGTTTTCACGGCCAATCATCAGATTCACGAAACAGTGTACAAGAAAATCTGTTTTCTTTACGTCATATATTTTGGATATGAATTTAAAACGATTTATGAACAATTACTGATTGCAGTACTGATGTAATGTATTTACTAAGGTTTGCTTAAATACCGCAAGTTCAGGTAGTATTGATTTAATAACATATCGTTGTAGACATTACTCACTGACCCACGGCTTGGGAACCCCTGGCCGCACCATAGGAGCAGTGGCGAGGGGTTGGCCTTTGTGTTGGACGCGGTGGGCAGTGGTCTTCCGCCGATGGGCTCAGTGCAGCCGCCCCCCACCATTGGGGTGGAATCCATCCAAGGGGCGATTGGGGCATTGGGAAATGTTCTGCTGCCCGTGGGCAAAGAATATGAGTTGCCATCAGTTGAGCGAGAATCCATCAACGGGGCGCCGGAGGCGATTGGGGCGATGGGCAGGGTGCCGCCGGTGGTAGAACTAAGTGAAGAATACAGTGCTTTGCGGGCCTCCTCCACTAAGAATAAATCGGTCACTGGAACTGGAGGCAGTATTCTGCCTCCGGCAGGCAAAGAGTAGAAGCATCCATCCAATGGCCGGGAATCCGTGCTAGGGGCGGCTGAGGAGACTGAGGCGGTGAGCAACGTTCTGCTTCCGTTAGCAAAAGGATAGTCATTCTTCTCTATTGCCTGGGAATCTATGGCAGAGGCGCCTGGGGAGGTGGGAAGTGTGGCGACTGGGGCTGTGGGACGTGTGGCGACTGGGGCGGTAAGCAGTGTTCTACCTCCGGTAAACAAAGAGTAGCCAATCCCTTCCATTACGCGGAAATCTATCCTCGGGGCGGCTGAGGCGGTGGGCTGTGTTGTGCCGGCGGTGGAACTGTGTGCGGAATATAGTGAGTCACTACTCTCATCCGGTGAGCGGGAATCCCTCTCAGGAGCTGTGGACAGAGTTCTGCTCCCAGCAGGCAAGGAGCTGTTACTGCCCTCTGCTAAACGCGAATCCGTCCCGGGGACGACTGGAGCAGTGTCCTGTGTTCTGCCCAGGAAATTCCGAATCCTCTCCATTAATTTGGAATCCAGCTCAGACGGGGTTCTGTGAGTAACAGTTACACCTTCCTCCGGACAATGACTCGCTTGTCTGGCGAGGGCTTCGTCCTGCGCCTGGGCGCGCCACACCGACGTCTGGAGCGCCGTGTATTTCTGGCTCTTGGCTATAAGAGTGCATTTCTCACACGTACAGTCCCGGTACTTACAGTAACGTTTGTGGCCCTTAACACGAATTTTTAACCAATGATTGCGACATCTGGCACAAGTTGGGTAGGAGTTCGTGGTATCTGAACTGCTGGCGGTGGCCTCTGAAGTCCCTGGAGGCATTCGAGTGCGTTCTTTATCCATCTACACACCTCTCACTGACACTCCAACAATGAACCACACATGTGAATCCCAATTATTCTGGCACCTGTGCACGTGAGCCCGCTCTGGCCCACAGGCACTTCCACAATTAACACACCTATGTCACTCCGTTATACGGGACTGTGCCGTCTGTTTTGCGGAGCGGGGCTCACACATGTGGAGTGCTGGTAACCAGTCAAGGGGGGTCGGAGGGGCGGGGGAGACTGAGTTGAAACTTTTACGACGTTTCGCTGGCTGTGTTCGTTGCAGTAGCGTCAGTGCAGAGTGGTCCCGCGGGGAGCGAAAGTTCAGTCCGAGTTGCATCGTAAAATCCTGCTGCATGTCGACTGTCTCGCCAAAACAACAAACTGAAGCTCTCCGTGTCTTTCGTGCGCATGTTGCTGCTGCACGTAAATTATATATTTAACCAGGGGGGTACCAGGATCTCCCGATGTAATTGGATGTTACGAAATTTTTATAATCGTAATTAACTCACTCACTCACGGAGTTGAGCCTTCGTGAGAAGCCTCCGATTGTGCAGCTACTCAAAAACTGTCAGCTTTTTATGGAACACGAAAGTTCTTTGCCGTGTTCACAAGAGCCCTCCACTTTCCCTATCCTGAGCCAGATCAATCTAATCCATACCATGCCGTCCTATCTCTCTAAGATCCATTTTAATATTGTTCACCCACCTACGTCTTGGTCTTCCCAGTGGTCTCCTTCCATCTGGCTTTCCCACCAATATATATACATCCCTCTTCTCCCCCATTCATGCTACATTCCCTGCTCATCTCATCTTTCTTGACTAGATCATTTGAGTTATACTTGGAGATGAGTACAAGTTATGAAGCTACTCATTATGCTGTTTTCTAATCATAATTAGGCAGACAGTAAATTGCTGAAATAGTTTAAATAGCTCACTTGCTACAGCCGATCTCAGTGGTCGCGCGGTCTACGGTAGGAAACGTTTTCGCCCGCTCGAACGCTGGGATCGTGGGTTCGAATCCCACTTGAGGCATGGATGTCTGTGTGTGCGTTTATTCTGTGTTATGTTGTTCTGTGTGTAGGCAGCGGCCTTGCGACGGGCTGATACCCCGTACAAGGAGTCCTACCGGCTGTGTATAATTTAAAAAACAGAAGAAAGAGCTCAAGGTCCGACAGAAGGACTTTAGAGCCATAGACAGAGAGATAGTCGAAACAGTTCACTCGCTGTAGCGACTGGACTGCAGACTGGAGTTTGATTCTCGGCCTGTACAATTGGTACAGTGGACGCCTTCAGCAGGCGGAAATGGCCGGGGCGTGAAGCTGACCTCTCCTTCGAATTCCGATTTTACGGATAAGTGTAGCAGCTTTCAATCCTGCATGCGTGTAGTACTGCCTAAGTAAGCGCGGGGAAAACTTAACCAAAGGGTACAAGTGCCCTGGGGCTGGCAGGACATAACAACAGAGGAAGTATCATAGCCTGTGAATGGCCCTGACCTAAGTTATTTAACGGGACACGAGATGAGGCAACAAACTTGCGTGTTTTTTGAAGCCTACTTTCCTTATTTTGAAAAATAAGAGGCTAAAGAGATCACCTTGCTGTCTGCGTCCCTCCCACTAAATTTTTCCTTTTCTATGACGTTCGTGTCATGTCAAGGAGGCTCCTGAGATAACCTTGCTCTGTGGGTGCTTGTGTGTCTCTCTGGTATTCACACCGCCTTCACTAATTTTCGAACATGCGGACGACCGACAATTTGTTCAATGTTCAGTCGTTTTACTCCCAAGAAACAGGGGCTGTTTGGGGCCCCATAGCCAGTGTGGACACTGTGAAGAAGAAAAAAGGGTCTGACCTATTCCGTGGATCGAACACTGATTCCTCAGCTGTCCAGCCCGCAGCTTAGTTTACACTGTCTAGATACAGCTGTTACAAAACGCGTTCTCGCCTGAGTACGAACGAACGTTACGTTCTAAACCAAAATAACACAGTTTAACATCCCATAATAAAACGAAACGCGAGACGAGGGGTACAGTTAGCAGCTCTGTTACAATACAATGCGTGTTTAGTCATCACTTTTCTGTATCATTACAAAATGTCACGTAACCAGTGGCGTGGGCCAGATGTGCCAGATGTGAACTTATCTGCATTAGCTCCAAGAACACAGGGATACATAAAACAGAGTGTCATCTTGGAACGCAACTAATACTGAGGAGTTACCGTTTGTATCCCACATGAGCCAGTATTTTCTGCGTGTGACTGAAGAGACCCACTAGATCCATCAGCGAGGACAGCCGGATTGTGGACCGGCGTCCGGATGTGGCGTACTAACCTCAGCCTCCAGCGAGACGCTGTAATGATTGCGTTACAGTAAGCAGTTGTCCGTCACCTGTTGCACGTGCCCCGTCGCTGTAGGTCGTCTGTAGGTGTCTGGTTGTTGCTAGGAGACCTTACCCCGTACGTTCAATATGCAGTATGGATCAGTGGTTCCCAAACTTCTGTAGTTGTAGTTCGCGGGCAACCTAGTCGTCGCTTTGCTCCCTGTCAGATTTCCTGATTTTGTATGCAGTGCGAAATGTGATTTCATATCGTGTTCTGCGCATCTCGACAAATAATAGTATTAAAGCAGTTTTTATTAAACCTCTCTTCGCAGAGACAAAAGATGAATAAACAGTAAGTTATGCGAAGAACGAGAAAGAGAGAGAAGAGAAAGAAAGTCGGGAGGTAGTGACAGACACTACATTTGGAAGGGGGGGAATTTTTGTATTAACCTTGTTCTCCATTTCCAGAACCACGGCTCTAAAAAGTGTACAGCAGCAGCTTATTCAGAACCGAACCGCGTCAAGGAGCTCCCACGCTTTTTCGAGCAGGCCTGGCCTGGGCTACCTCAAGTACCTCCAGGACCCTTTGATGTTCTCGAAAGAACTAAGTGCCTACTTTCCTTCAGTATGAAACGGACCTTGAGGAAAACCAAGAAATTAAGGGGCACACATAGACACACAGACAGCAATGTGATCTAATTGGCCTCATGACAAAATAAAATTGGTTAGACGGCATACATTGGCAGCAAGGGGATCTCGTAAACCTCAAAAACCTAAAGAATTAGGGGGATACACAGACAGAAAGGCGATTTCATAAGCCTCCTTTTATTTTTTATTTCATAATAAGGAGAATAGACTAAAAAATAATTTTACAGTAAAACTGGAATATGAGAAATATGTAAAATTGAGAAAATCCTATACATTAACCTTATTTTCTTGCGAAAAATACGGAAAAGACGGCCGTTATTCATTTCTATCGGTGGAGCACGTTGGCCCAGCCCTCACAACACCAGCGTTCCAACGGATCATAATTTGAGAACCGCTGGTGCGAAGATATGCCAGGCTTAAGGCGTGCAGTCTTGTGACGCCGCAGCGGTAAATAACAGACCTATGTGCAATGTCACATATTTTCTTTCTCACAATCTGTATAAAGATAATCATGCACATAATCCAATAACAACTTGCATAAGACTGAGTTCCATGTGGCATTTAAGAAGTTTAAATCCCCTCTTATTATTTGCATTGTAACTGAATGTATTAATGATACGTGTAGAAGATTAAGGCCGGATTCACCGACCGTGTTCAGACTGTGCTCTGCTGCCTCCATTCACACAGAGTGGACTGGTCGCCGACTGTGCTGTAGCTGGTTTTATTTTGCATTCGTAGAGATGGATCAGAACGAAGATGTGATTGCTGCATGCGGAGCAGACATTGTGTTGCAAGAAGAAAAGAACAGAAAGAAAAGAAAATATTGGGTTCATCAGTTATACAGAGCAAGAGATGAAGAAGGAGAATTTCATACGATATATTCTCTCCTCAAGGATATCAGGATAAATTCTTCACTTATTTTCGTATGAGGGTACGAAAATTTGAAAATCTGTTAAAAATACTGGGACAAGAATTTTTAATATCTTCTCGCTGGGTAAGGTGCGTAAGGGACCCACTAATCGGAGACAGTTTCTATGCTCAACAATTATTCTAAGTTTTATTACAAGAAAGTAAAAGATGTAGATAATATATACGTAGGCGAGTCAAATGAAAACCTTAAATATCTTTTTGATTATTATTTATTGTGCACAAGTGGTACAAAGCTGTATCACTTTTCAACATAATCTCCTCCACGCTCAATGCAAGTCCTCCAGCGCTTACAATGTGCATGAATTCCTTTAGAAAAAATTCTTTTGGTAGTCCGCGCAACCACTCATACACCGCGTGGCATACCTCTTCATCAGAACGGAACGTCTCCCCTCCCAGTGCTTCTTTGAGTGGTTCAGACATATGGAAATCACTTGGGGCAAGGTCTGGTGAGTATGCCGGATGAGGAAGACACTCAAAATGCAGGTCATTGATTGTCGCAACTGTTGTACGGGCACTATGGGGCCTTGCATTGTCATGTCGCATAAGGATACCTGTGGACAGCAATTCAGGTCGCTTTGATTTGATTGCAGACCGAAGATGATTTTTAGGAGATCTGAGTATGATGCACTGATGACAGTGGTCCCTCTAGGCGTGTAGTGCTCCAAGATGACGCCTTTTTCGTCCCAAAAGAGAGTCAGCATAACCTTCCCTGCTGATGGTTGTGTTCGAAATTCCTTCGGTCTTGGAGATGACGAATGGCGCCATTTCTTGCTCGCTCTCTTCGTTTCCGATTGGTGGAAGTGATCTCACGTTTCGTCCCCAGTAACGATTCATGCAAGGAATTCATCATCTTCTCGTTCAAAGCGCCGCAGAAGTTCTTCACAAGCATCAATACGTCGGTCTTTCAATTCAGGATTCAGCTGCCGTGGCATCCATCTTGCAGACACTTTGTGAAGCTGGAGCACATCGTGCACAATGTGGTGTGCTGAACCATGACTAGTGTTTAAACTTGCTGCAATTTCATTCAATGTCACTCGGCGGTTTTCCCTCACTATGGCTTCAACTGCTGCAGTGTTCTCTGGAGTCACAACTCGATGTGCCTGACCCGAACGACGAGCATCTTCCACTGAAGTCACACCATTTGCAAACTTCCTAGTCCATTCGTACACTTTCTGCTGTGACAAACATGCATCACCATACTGAAACTTCATTCTTTGATAAATTTCCATAGGTTTCACACCTTCACTATACAAAAAACGAATAACAGAATGCTGTTCTTCCCTGGT